GGTTGGCCCAGGATCGGACATTGTTTTGTTCTTCTGTGCATTGGGGTCGCTATGAGTCGGTTCTGACTCAATGGCACCTGACAACAACAACAAGGAATTGCTGGAAGACAAATTGAAATCTTTTAACAAAATGATGCAGCATTGGAGGCACTCACTCATCTGTGTCAAGAAACATGACAGACTGAAAGAGATTCATATTTGTGCCCATTCCAAAGAGGTGGCCCGACCAAATTGTGGAAGTTATCGAACATTATTATTAATATCACATGCAAGTAAAATTTTTCTAAAGATAATTCAAAAGCAGCTTCAGTAGTATATCAATAGAGAAGTCCAGAAATTCAAGCCGGATTCCGAAGAGGATGTGGAACGAAGGGTGTCATTGCTGACATCGGATGGATCTTGGTTGAAAGCAGAGAATACCAGAAAGTTGTTTGTTGTTGTTTGTTGTTAAGTGTGATCGAGTCAGTACCGACCCATAGTGACCTCATGCACAGCAAAACAAAACACTGCCCAGTCCTGGGCCCACCTCACTACTGTTACCATGATTGAGCCCATCGAGGCTGCCACTTGGCCAATCCATCTCGTTGGGGGTCTTTCTCTTTTTCTCTGACCCTCCGCCTTACCAAACGTGATATCCTTTTCTAGCGACTGTTCCCTCCTGACGTTATGTCCAAAGTATGAGAGACCAAGTTTGGCCATCTTGGCCTCCAAGGAGCACTCTGGCTGCACTTCTTCCAAAACAGATCTGTTGGTTCTCTTGGCAGCCCATGGTACTTTCAATATTCTCCTCCAACACCATAACTCAAAGGCATCAATTCTTCTACGGTCTTCTTTATTCACTGTCCATCTTTCACATACAAATGAGGTTATTGAAAATACTTGTGCTTTATTGTCTACGCAAAGGCTTTCGATTGTGTGGATCATTGGCAACGTTGTGAAGAATGAGTATTCCAGAACATTTGTTGGGCTCATGAAGAACCTATATGTAGACCAAGAGGAAGTAGTTCTGACTCATAGTGGCCCTACCTATATAGTGTTTCCGAGACTGTAAATCTTATAGGATCAGACAACATCATATCTTTCTCCTGCAGAGCCACTGGTGGGTTCGAACCACCAACTTTATAGTTAACAATCCAGCACTTTTCCTGTAGCACCACGGTTGTAGGAGTGCCTGGTGGCACCAGTAGTTAAGCAATCTAGTACTAACTGAAAGATTGACAGTTCAAATCTGCACAGAGTCCTGGAGATGTGTTTCAGCAAGGCTGTTGCCTTGACAATGTCATGGAGTGCAATTCTACTCTGCACACGGCGAGTGTCCTGGAGCCAAAATCAACTGGACAACAGCTCATGTTGTTTGTTTTAAAAATAATTGTACGCATATGTGTTGGGCTTAGAAAATTATTTGGTGTCTTTGTAAAGCATGTAAGTTAATCCATAAATAAAGATGTTTATGTTTGGTTTTAGGTTAGAGTAAGAATGTTCTAAATCGCCCTGGTGGTGCAGTGGGTTAGGCACTGGGCTACTAACAGAAAGATTTTAATGGTTCGAATCCACCAGCAGCTCCAAGGGAGAAAGCTGCGATAGTCTTCGTCTGTAAAGATTTATAGCCTCGAAAGCCCAAAGGGGCAGCTCGCCCCTGTCCTATACGGTCAGAATCGACTGATTAACAGTGTGTTTTGTTTTGTTAAGAATATTCTCGTGTTTGTAACAAGTCACACAGATGTGCAGGATCTCATTTCACAGTAATGGGTAGTCAGCAGAGGGTTTGTTCCTTAATGTTTTGAGGAAAGTATCTCTCTGCATCCCTTTTTATTTACAAAATGTTTGACGTTTCTTTCGTAAGCACAGACTCTTCAGGGATAACCCCACTGGTGTCAAGCAGAGTCGGGGTTCACATGGAGGCTGGCCAGCCCTTTGGTCTACCTCCCTGCTATTTCTAAGCAGGAGTTAATTGACAAATTTCCTTTGCTTATTCCTGCAGGCACTACAAAATCCGAAGACCGCGCTGCTCTGCTGAAGAAATTCAATGAACCAGGGTCCCAGTATTTCATTTTCTTACTGAGCACGAGAGCCGGAGGACTGGGCTTAAATCTTCAGGCGGCCGACACTGTGGTCATCTTTGACAGCGACTGGAACCCCCATCAGGTCTGTTTGCCTGTGCCATGGGCTGGCACCCACTCCTCCCTCCAACCATCACCTCTGTGTGGCAGAGCGAATTTCTAAACCAGGGGCATCTCTTCAAAGGGGAAATATTGTATTGTATCATCAGTCCTTAATAATTCTCGGGAATCCCATGTGACAAAGTAGACTGTCCCTCTGCCATCTTTAAGAAAGCAGGTCACACCAGCCCTTTCTCCAACAGACCCACTGGGTGGATTCAAACCACCAACCCTTCAGTTAGCAGCTGAGCACTTAACCCTTGTGTGACCAGCTGATGGATACAGCTGCTCTCTTCTACCCCATGATGTACAGATGTTGAAATATCTTCCATGTGTCTTTGAAGAGCTTAAGGTTTAGATAGAAAAACTCAGATTCTGCTGGGTTAAACCCCATCTGCTGGAATTACTAGACTGCTAGTGTGGTGCTGTAGGATCAGCACTGGACTGTGAACCACAAGGTCAGCAGTTCAAATCCACCAGCTGCTCCTTGGAAACCCTATACAGTGTCGTTATGAGTCAGAACCAACTTGACGGAACTTAACAACAGCACCAAATGGAACTACCATCTAGCAAAGCTGAAGCTCAGTGATTCAATAGTGTTATTCAGTTTGTTCTATCCTGACATTTTTGGACAGCTATGTCAACATACTATTATTTACTTTTTATTTATCTTAATCTACTTTACTTTGATTACCATTATACGAGTGAAACTTGTTCTAAGCATTTGGATGTTTGATACACTAGGGATAACATGTTTTCCTAGAAAATAATAAATATATTTAAAACTAAAATTAAAAGAACAAAGTGCATCTGGTCAGGAGTCAGTATTACACATTGGACATCAACAAGGGACCTTTGTTGTTGTTAGGTGCCATTGAGTCGGTTCTGACTCATGGCCACCGTAAGCAAACAGAACAGAACACTGTCCGGTCGTGTGCCACCGTGTGAAAATATCCAATAGAAGGGACTTTTAGTTGAACTTAATCTGGGCCTCAGCATACAGGTTGAATAAGTATGATGAAAGAATACAACGTTGTTGCACACCTTTCTTAATTTTAAACTATTCGGTAGTCCCATGAGCAAATAACCTGAGAAGCTGGATTCTATGAAGAAAAGCATGGCATCAGGATTGGAGAAAGACTCATCAACAACCTGCGATATGCAGATGATACAACCTTGCTTGCTGAAAGTGAAGAGGACTTAAAACATTTACTGATGAAGATCAAAGAGCACAGCCTTCGGTATGGATTGCATCTCAATGTAAAGAAAACAAAAATCCTCACCACTGGACCAATAAACAACATTCTTATCAATGGAGAAGAGATTGAAATTGTCAAGGACTTCATTCATCTTGAATCAACTATCAACACTCATGGAAGCAGCAGTCAAGAAATCAGACGACATATTGCATTAGGCAAATCTGCTGCCCAAGACCTTTTTAAAGTGTTGAAGAGCAAAGATGTCAGCTTGAGGACTAAGGCGCACCTGACCCAAGCCCTGGTATTTTCAATAACCTCATATGCATGCGAAAGCTGGACAGTGAATAAGGAAAAACTTATTCTGTAGAAGAATTGATGCTTTTGAGTTGTGGTGTTGGAGGTGAATATTGAAAGTGCCATGGGCTGCCAAAAGAACCAATAGATCTGTTTTGGAAGAAGTACAGCCAGAGTGCTCCTTGGAGGCCAAGATGACCAAACTTCGTCTCTCATACTTAGGACGTAGTGTCAGGAGGGAGCAGTCGCTGGAGAAGGATATCATGTTCGGTAAGGTGGACGGTCAGAGAAAAAGAGGAAGACCCCCAACGAGATGGACTGGCCAAGTGGCAGCCTCGATGGACTCAGGTGTGGCAACAGTAGTGAGGTTGGCCCAGGATCAGGCAGTGTTTTGTTCTGCTGTGCATAAGGTGGTTATGAGTCGGTACCAACTCAATGGCACCTAACAACAACAATCTAGGCCTGTCTGTTGATGTGTATCATTTCATTCCTGTTTCATGGCTTCCAGGTGAGGTCCTTAATCTGATCCTCATATCTGCACAATAAGGGAAACTGAGTCCCAATAAGGCTAAGTCAGGAATCCCAAAATGGCACAAACAATGAAGTGCTTAACTGCCACTAACCAGAAGGGGTGCGTTCATTTCCAGTCTCCAGAGGGCTCCACAAAAGCATCAGTTCTTCTATGGACATATGGAGCAGCTGACCAGTAATATTGGTCTTTTTTTATGATTTAGAGTTTTGTCCCACATTTGCTCCTACTCTCTCCAGAACCTTGTCATGTGATTCCTTTGTAGAGTAGTTGGTAGCCATTCTCCGAGTCCCCCAGTTAATGCGCTCAGCTGCTGATGAAAATGTTGGTAATCGGAGTCCATTCAGCGGCGCCTCAGAAGAACGGCCTGGCAAACTCCTTCCCAAAGATCACAACCTGCACCGTGAACACCCAAGTGGGCTTAGATAGTCCCATTGGCTTTGACTGTGTGCTAGAGCCATATTTGTCCTTTTCCTCCTCACTGAAAGACTTGCTCATCCTTTTAAATGGATTCAAAAGGTCAGCACAGGTAAAAATAAAAAAGATCCCAACCACCGAGAACCTTGTAGAGAACGATTGTGCTCCTGGGTGTCAGACCCCTTTACCCGGACCCTAGTGCAGGAAGGAGACGCACCATGAAGTTTGCTGTTATGTAGAAGTACAGTTAAGGAACTCCGCTTCAGAGGGCGTGACTACGATCAGCTCTGGACTGCTAACCAAAAAGTCTGCAGTTCAAACCCACCTGCTGCTCCTCGGAAACCCTATCCAGGGTCAGAACCAACTCTACAGCTCTCAACAACAACATCTTTTTATTATTCCAAGGGTAATACACCTTGAAAGCCAGAAAAAAACGAAAATTAAACTACATTAGCAAAATTACATAGTTAGCGAAACAAAGACATTGAAATAACACTGTAACCTTATTAGGGATACTGGTGGCTCAGTTGTTAAGCACATGACTGCTCACCTAAAGATTGCAGGAGAGAAAGATGAAGGAGTGTGTTTCTCCTTCATCTGTAAAAGATTACAGCCTTGGAAACCCCATGAAACAGTCCCACTCTGTCTTAATATATTTCCATCTGGACAGAGAAACATTAGCTGTATGCCTTTCCTGTGGGTTTTATATGTAACATATACATAGATAACTTTAAGGAGAGCTAGTAGGAGCTCTGGTAGCATAGTGGCTAGGAATCAGGCTGCGAACCTTAAGGTCAGCAGTTCGAAACTCCCAGCTGTTCTGCAGAAGAAAGATGAGGCTTTCTGCTTCTGTAAAGATTTACAGCCTCAGAAACCCTGTACAGGGTCGCTATGAGTCAGAACCGACTCCACAGCACATAACCACCACCACCAGTAGGACAGAAGGTTACCTGTTGAACTGCTAACTGCAAGGTCAGCAGTTTGAATCTATCAATTGCTTCTCGGCAGAAAGATGAGACTTTGTGCTCCCATAAAGACTGACCGCCTCGGGTGGGGAATAGTGTTAGGATGCTTGGCTGTCTTTTGAATCTTGGTTTTCCTTGCCTACCATTGTAAAATAGACACTTGAGGTGGGGAGAAAGGAATAGTCAGAATCATCACTAGAATCATCACTACAGTAAGCTTGTAAGTCTGTCTTCAGCCTATAACTACTGATTGGAATGCCTTAAAGGGGGCTAGAAGTTGCCCAGTGAAAGAGGAGTCCTGTGGAGCCTTTACATTGCACAAGACCATAGGCAGAATCCATAACCTCATCCAGAACCGAATGAGGTAGGAAATTTCAACTGGAAAGGACAAGTAGACCAGCCTGGAGTGACTAGAAGAACAGAAGGTACTTCGTGAAAGAAATACCGGCAGGAAAAATCTGAAACAACAGCAGTCTGAGTGTTTACTACAAGAACAAGGAAGCTGTTTGCCTGGGAGCCATCAAGGGGTCAGGATCCCTCAGAGCAAATCCCCTGCCAAGACTGAGACGCAAGGAGAATACATGAGCAGGCATGTGGTCTGGCTGGTGACCTTGTTGATCACCGATAAGGGGAGGAGGGAAAAAACCAGCAATGAAGTTGTCAGCTAAGCCCAACCACATTCAGTAGACCCTGTGAACCTGGATGGCCAGCAGTACGGCAAGACCCGGGAATTCCTGGGCCCAGAGGCAGTGACATGGCCACAGAGGACTAGAGCGGAGAGTGAAGCGTCCAGCTGATATGAAGTGAGGGGAGATGCACAAGAACACCCATACTTGCAGATACTACCACTTGACCTGGCTTCGATGGCTGGATGATCAGAACTCAACTAGAAGACGAAAGAAGAGAGAGGGGGGAAAAAAGAGTCACCTGCTACAATATGATGAACTTGATCTATACTTATGGATGTAGTAGCTCAAAAAAGGGAACAAATCTTTACAGGAGAATCACTCCCACCCCCTCGGTGCACAGGGTTGACAGGGATGGGCAACTTAGACATTGGCTACCCAAAATGGGGGGCCTATAAAGGCAAGAAGTGACTGGCTTGCAAGCTTTCAAGAGGGAACCTAGTTCCAGACAGGGTGGGGGAAGGTAGAATCACCATTGAACGATTTCTAATCTGTTGGGGCCTGGCTGGCGAAAGGCAATGGGGATAAGACTCTTGTGGTACAATAGTGAATAATTGCCATCAGGACTGACTGGGAGGCTAGGAAATACAGAGGTAGATGTTTTTTTGACAAAAGGAGGAGAGTGATTGATTTTACAGCCCGGGAGCGGAGGTCTCTCGGACCATCAGGTGAGAAGAACAGAGAGTGGGACTGTACCCAGAGGGGTAGTGACGCCAGGGATGGAGACAGAGACGATGATGTGGACAGATGGAGCGGCTGAGGATAGTGGACTCAGGGAGGGAGAGGGGCTGTGTGCTGGCGGCCGGGGGGGGGGGGGGGGGGGGGGGGGGGGGGGTGGGGGGGGGGGGGGGGGGGGGGGGGGGGGGGGGGGAGGGGCGGGCCTGTGTGGTGTACCCTTTGGTTATTTGATGATGTATGGAGGAGATTGTAATTATTGCAATAAAACGATGAGTGTAGAGCTGATGTTCTCCCATGTAAACCTCACAATAAAAATGTTAAAAAAAAAAAAAAAAGAAACCCTCGGAAACCCCATAGAGGGTTGCTATGAATCAGAAGTGACTCTACTCTATACAGCTGTAGGGTCATAATGTACGTACCTGGTACCCACTATTGCCCAGTTGATTTGAACTCATAGCTACTTTATAGGACAAACTAGACTTGTCCCGTAGGGTTTCCAAGGCTACAGTCTTAGCAGAAGCAGCCGGTCTCATCTTTCTCCCAAGGAGCAGCTGGTGAGTTCGAACCACTGACCTTTGGTTAGCGGCAGAAAACTTAACCGTGGTGACACCAGGGCTCCTGATAATGTACGGGGGGGGGGGGGGGGGGGGGGGGGGAGAGAGAGAGAGTTGAAAAAGTTGGTGGGAAAATGAAATTTAAAATAATGGAGTTTTCTCATAAACTTTTTTGATCCCCCTTGTATATCTCTATAAATTGTAGCTTTCTCTTATTGTATGGTTGTGTCATTAAGTATTCTAAAGCATCATTTTTGTGGTCACATACTTTGCTAGGTTTATTTTACATACAGTGGTGGTGGTGGTTATATGCCATGGAGTTGGTTCTGGCTCATAGCGACCCAGTACAGGGTTTCCGAGGCTGTAAATCTTTTTGGGAGCAGAAAGCCTCCTCTTTCTCCTGCGGAACAGCTGGTAGTTTCGAACTGCTGACCCTGAGTTTAGCCGCCCGATTCGTAACCACTACGCTACCAGAGCTCCTATTACGTACAGTTGTTGTTGTTGTTATGTACCGTGGAGTCGTTTCCGACTCATAGCGACCCTGTACAGGGTTTCCGAGGCTGTAAATCTTCGCAGGAGCAGAAAGCCTCATCTTTCTCCCACGGAACCGCTGGTAGTTTCGAACTTCTGCCCTTGAGGTTAGCAGCCTCATTCATAACCACAATGCTACAGTAGAATGCAATAATTTATGTAACCAATCTGTACTGCTGACTACTTAATGACTTTTGTGGTTTTTGTTGTTGTTTTAACACAATAAATAACGCTGAGATGCAGCGCCTTATTTCTAAATCTTTGTATATATCCGTAGGAGAAAGTATTCACAATGCAATTTTGGAGTCAGAGACTCCAAATTTGCCAATTGTGCCACATTTCTGCCCCCAGCTATTGGCCCATTTACAACCCCAGTAGCGATGCCTTTCATTCTCCCCAGCTAAAGACTGAGTTTTTAATAGGGTGGTGGTGGTTGTGTATTGTCTAGTGGATTCTGACTCACAGGTTGTAATCTTGGTGGGGGAAGATCACCAGGACTTTCTTCCATGGAGCGGCTGCTATGTTCCAACCATCGACCTTTTAGGTTAGCAGCCGACCACAGGGCTTTTTTAATTTTTTTAAGTTTTTATTGTGCACTGAGTGATCATTTACATGGTAGAACATCGGGTTTACTCTCATTGTTTCATTACAATGATTACAATCTCCTCTGTGCATCACCATTCAACAGTATCTGCTTCTATTCCCTCTGGTTTTTGGGGGGCAGATGTACACAAAAACACTCAGTAATGTATAATCATTTAAACAACCCAAGGGCACATTCTGCAAGCCTGTCTCCTGGCCACCAGCACACAGCCTTTCTCTTTCCATGAGTCTAGAGTCCTCAGCTGCTCCCTCTCTCCATGTCCCCATCTCTGGTGTCGCTGCTTCTCTGGATAGGGTCCTGCCTTCCACTTGTGGTCTTCTCCACAGGGCTGCTTTTGATGGGGTTAACCCACTGCCATCTGTTCCAACACGTAGCCCCCCTATAAAAAGTTTTTGAGACTGTGAATCTGTACAGAGCAGGCAGCCTCATCTTTCTCTTGTGGTGCCACTGGTGGGTTTGAACCTCTGACCTTTCTGTTAGTAGCCCAGTGCTTTGTTGTTGTTGAGTGCCGTGGAGTCAATTCTGACCCATCGTGACAACCCTGTATAGGGTTCCCAAGGAACAGCTGGTGAGCTTGGACCACCGACCTTGCAGTTCAAATGACTTTGCGGTCTGACGCATCAGTCCACAGCGTCACACCAGGTCAGCCTGGTGCCTGGGTCCTAGGACATTTGCCATCTGAGCAGTCTCTGAATGGCTAATGTCCATGTGCATTATTCAGTCATGATTCTAAGAATCGTCAGTCACACATCACGCTAACAGAAAGACATTTCTTGCAACTTTTTGTGATTACTGAAGGCCTCGCTCTAATTTTAAATGTGTAGGTTTTTTATTAGACACAGCTTCAGATGGCGAGCCCAGGGACTGGTGGAAATGTTTTGAGACCTGCATTCCAACACCTGAACCAGAGTCTCATTTAGCTAGGCTAAACTTGAACCCAAATCTGAATTAGGAAAGAACTTGACTTTCTCCAAACATGGTGGTTTGTATGTTTTCAAGATGGCAGCAGTATCTTGGGAATGCTAATGGCGTAGTGGTTAAAGTGCTCAGCGGTTGGCTGAAACGTGGCGGTTTGAAGCCACCAGCTTCTCTGCAGGAGAAAATTGGGGCTGCCGGCTTCTGTAAAGATTGCAGCCTTGGAAACCCGAATGGACAGTCCTGTCCTGTGGGGTCACAATGAGTTGGAATTGACTTGGCAGCAGAGGATCGATTCTGTTGTATGTTGGTTTTAAGTGGACTATCACATTAGCAAAGTGGATTCAATTGTTTTTGTTGGTGGTTGCTCATGACGAACTCACATACAAGTGGATAAAGTGCCGCCCAGCGCTGCGTTCGTGTCAGTACACCATTGTTAGTGGGGGGTGGGGGGGTCTATGGTTGTGAAGTGCCGCCCAGCCCTGCGTTTGTGTCAGTACACCATTGTTAGTGGGGGGGTCTGTGGTTGTGGCCGTTTTGTTAGTCATCTCACATTCCCGGACTCTCTGTTTCTACAAGGTCCCTGGGTTTGCTCTTGGCTACTAGCTAAAAGGTTAGCCATTCAGACCCACTCAGTGCTGACGAGGAAGAGAGACCTGTGATCTAGGACCATCAGTTTACCACCAAGAAGATTCTGTGGCCCTTCATTCGACTCTGTTGCACCTGCTTGCCATGAGTTGGAACGGACTCAACAGCACTGAGGTTCAGGGGTGCTGGGGGTCGTGGTGTTGTGCTACTTTAGCCAACATTTGTGTACGATTGGCCCTTCCTGATGACACGTCCAAAATAAGCCAGCTGAAGTCTCCCGGTCCTCTCTTGTACGGTGCATTCCAGTTGTTTTCTTGTAAGTCCTACTCATCCATCCCCCTGGCAGTCCACGGCAAATTAAATACAAATGTTTTAGTCTGAGGGTTCGCTACTGAAGCAAAAGCCGTCAGGGTTATATATACATACACACACATATATAAGACAGCGGTGTTATCACTTGTTATAAACATCAGCTGTACAGGTGAGCAAGTCCTGAGTCCACTGGTCAGATGTCAGTCTGGAGACTATGACTCGCAACTGCTGGGCTGATGAAACATGACCGGCAGGTCAGATGGCAGGCTGGCAGGATCGGCAGATGGTAGATTAGGCCACTGGCTCAAGCCCAAAGAACCGGAGGTTAGATGACAAGCCAGATGCAAAACCAGACACGGCAGAAAAGGAAGGGAGCTTGCTCTGAGTTTTCCCAATACGTTGGAAGCCGGTCACACCCCGAGGAAGCTTCCATTCAGAGTGGATCTCATTGTGGAGATGTTACATGGTATGAGATCTCAGCCTGAGGAATCACTGCCTCCTAGATGCCAAACCGCTGTACCTTAGCCCTCATGCGTGGGTGGCTGGTCTGCTCGCTGGACCCTGGCACACTGACCCTCACCGTGAGCCTCTGTCCTCTCTCTTCAGGATCTGCAGGCGCAGGACCGTGCTCACCGCATCGGGCAGCAGAACGAGGTACGGGTGCTGAGACTCTGCACCGTGAACAGCGTGGAGGAGAAGATCTTGGCTGCTGCCAAGTACAAGCTGAACGTGGACCAGAAGGTCATCCAGGCGGGCATGTTTGACCAGAAGTCTTCCAGCCACGAGCGCCGGGCCTTCCTGCAGGCCATCCTGGAACACGAGGAGGAAAACGAGGTACGGGGCACGGGGGGACCTTTTGGTTACTGAAGGGCTGACGGTGACTCTTTGTTCCTTACAGAACATCCGGAGTGGGCATTAAATAGAAAACAAATATGCTACACCCCACTCCAAAAAAAAAAAACAAAACAAAAAAAAAACCCACTGCATAGAGCCCGTTCTCACTCATAATGACCCAATAGAACAGAGTAGAACTTCCGCACTGGGTTTACAAAGGTATTAATCTTTTTTTCAAGATTTAAAAAAAAAAATTGTACCCATCTATATACAGCCAAACATTTGCCATATCAACCATTCGTATGCTCCAGTCCACACGTTGTATACCATCACCAATATTTATTTATAAATCTTTTTTCTCTCTCCTTTCTTTTTCATTCTTCCCTTGCCCCCTTCCTTCTCTCTGCACACCCCCCCCTCGCTTTTTTTTTTTTTTTTTTTCTTTCTGACAAGTTTACAATGGTTTGTCCCAAAGAGAAAAAAATAGACATTGTTTCCCTTCCGGTACATGCGGTGGGGGGTGGGGGAGAGATTTTCTTTGTTTCCCTTTCTTTCTTCTTTTTTCCTTCCTTTTCATTTTAACTGTCTTCCCCATCACCCAAGTTAGCACAAGTCTACAGTCTCCCCAGTGAATAATTCCCCTTCCCTCTCACCCGCTGGGAACCATCATAGAATTTTTATTACAGAATGAAAACCTTTTCTGGACTTTTTACCACAGTCGTCTCATACAATAGCTGTTCCTTGGCGACCAACTGATTTCACTCAGTGAAATGTCCTCTGAGATCCTCCGTACTATGTGGTGTTTTGTAGATCCGTTATTTTTCAGGGTTGTATAATACTCCACTGTGTGCATGCAATGAAGTTTGTTCAGCCATTTCTCTGTGGATGAGCATTTACGCCGTCTCCATCTTTCTGCTGTTGTGAATAGCAGTCCATGATCATGGTGATGAGTGTATCTATTCATGTCATGGCACTTATTTCTTGAGGACATGTACCAAGTAGAGGGAGTTCTGGGTCATGTTATCAGGAGGGGCCAGTCCTTGGAGAAGGATATCAATGCGTGGTAAAGTGGAGGGTCGAGAAAAAAAGAGAAAGACCCCCAACGAGATGGATTGGCACAGTGGCAGCAGCAGTGGGCTGAAGCGTAGCAACAACCGTGGGATTGAAGAAGAACCAAGCAGTGTTTGTTTCTGTTGTACACAGGGTCGCTATGAGACAGAACCCACTCCACGGCACCTAAAAACAACAGTATCTTCACGTTCAACCTTTTGAAAAAGTGCCGTGCTGTTTTCCCACAGTGTTTGAACTATTTTACAGTCCCATCAGCAGCAGAACATGTTTTAAAATTGGCAAAGGTGTGAGACAGGGTTGTATTCTTTCACCATACTTATTCAACCTGTATGCTGAGCAAATAATACGAGAAGCTGGGT